TCTGTGTCTGTGTCTGTGTCTGTGCCTGTGTCTGTGTCTGTGTCTGTGTCTGTGTCTGTGTCTGTGTCTGTGTCTGTGTCTGTGCCTGTGTCTGTGTCTGTGTCTGTGTCTGTGTCTGTGTCTGTGTCTGTGTCTGTGCCTGTGTCTGTGTCTGTGTCTGTGTCTGTGTCTGTGCCTGTGTCTGTGTCTGTGTCTGTGCCTGTGTCTGTGTCTGTGTCTGTGTCTGTGTCTGTGTCCGTGTCTGTGTCTGTGTCTGTGTCTGTGTGTGTGGGTGTGGGTGTGGGTGTGTCTGTGTGTGTGTGATGCATCCGCCACCGCTCTTGCAGCGAGTGGTGCGTGTCGGGCCCCTGTTTTTGCGACGCTCCCTGGCACGTCGATCCCAACATGCGTTCACTCGATTGTCAAAGTCCCTGATGTTGGCTTGCCTTCCAAGCAGAAAGTGGTGCCAAAATCACTAGTTCTGATGAAATGTTTCACCGAAGATATCCCTTCAGCGCCTGCCCGAGCGCTGTGGTGGATTGGCGCGGCAGCGAACTTGTAGTAACTATGGTCACTGGGTTACTACTCCTGTTTTACTATTGAGCTCGCAATCAGACCAATTCGATCTCCTTCGGCAAGAGGCCCTGGAACCAAACCGAGATTCTGGACCGAGTTGAATTATATAAGTCGAACTCAATCAGAGTATATCGGCTAAGCTGACTTGACATGTGAATGCAATAACGACTAGAAGTGGAAAAAAAATATTTTGTCTTGGATTGTAGACGGTCGTGTTTGAGGCCATTGCCATGACTGCCAAAAAGAGCATTCCTGGTCACGCTTAGTCATTATTCTCGCTGGCGAGCACCCAGGAGTAGCAAGACTGCGAAGACCAAGGTTGCGAAGCAACGAGCAAGGGATTCTGCTCGGGCGCACTCGCAGATGGGCTCGGTTCATCCTGCCACGAACAGTTCAAGCATACCATTGGCCGCCGTTGGAGGAAAGGGTACCTCTGCACCCTCTCTCCCGACCAGTCCCCCTCCGCAACCGCCTCCTCCCCCCGCCCATCTCCTCCCCAGGCATCACGCGACTCGGCTTGTTCGAAGACTGGGCCCTTAGACATCTCGACCCCTTCCCCGGGGCAAGTGTTTTGTCCTCGAAGTCCTGGGGCCCAGAACGCCCCGACTCAACGTTGTGGAACGGCCGGGATCATCTGGGCCCTGGAAAAAAAATCTGACCTCGCAAGGGGCCCGCCCCGTTTTGATCCAAACTTCGAGGCGCATCCCGGCAATGGTGACGAGAAGACTCGCGGAAGCCGAATAATGGGGGATGGACGGAGAGAGATAGAGAGAGAGAGAGCGAGAAAAAAAGTGTGAGAGAAATGAACAAGAGGGTTGTTCGCCCACGCAAAGCACTACGGGTGACGCAACCACACCGCGAGTCACAGGGTCGCCAGGCAGACCAGGCACACCGCACAGGCCGACCTGCAACAAGCAAACTCGTGTTACGAACCCGTTAGAGAAGGGGGGGACGAAAAATCCATCCAGAAGCCAGAACCTCCCCTCCGCCCCCTGTCGGCGACTCCGAAGGACGTGGTTTGCAACGGGTGTGGCCTGCAGCCGGCACCCCGGGCGGCGGGCGAGGGCCTCGACGGAGCTCTCCGCCGCGTCCCGGGGAGGCCCGACGAGGACGTCGTCGTGTTCCCCAGGCCCCAGCGGCGCCGATCGCAGAGGAGGACGAGGAGGAGGACCAGTATAAACCCCAGAGTCATCAACGATGTTGGAGTGAACCCTCCCTCCAAGCTCCCTCTCCATAGGCCCCTATAACGGTTCAGTCCATTGAGGGAACGGCCTCGTTGGAAGACATCCGTTTGAAGACCTTGAAACATGCCAAAACATTGCTCTCGGGATTTCCACGCCACGGATCAACCTGACTGCTGCCTCCTGACGATGTAGAATCGTGCCAGAACGCCATTCTTGGGACTTCAACACCGCGCGCGAATCAACAGAACTGTTGCGCCCGCATAATCCTGAATCCTTCCCAAACGTAATTGTTGGTACGCTGATCATGGAAATCCGTGTAACTCTTGCAAACTATTGAAACAAATGTGCGCGGCGCGAAGGCGAGAGCCACATTTTGAAAACGACCCGCCCTCAATCCATGAAATTCTTGCATCTATTTGAAACGAGTATGCGCGGCGCTAGGGCGAGAGCCACATGTTGAAAACGACCCGCCCTCAATCAATGAAACTCTTGCAATTTTGTGAAACGAATATGCGCGGCGCTAAGGCGAGAGCCACATGTTGAAAACGGCCTGTCCTCAATCCGTGAAGCTCTTGCAAATTTTCAAAACGAATGTGCGCGGCGCTAGGGCGAGAACAATATTTTGAAAACGGCCCGCCCTCAATCCGTGAAACTCTTGCAAATGTTTGAAACGAATGTGCACGGCGCTAAGGCGAAAACCACATTTGGAAAACGACCCGCCGTCAATCCGTGAAACGCTTGCAAATGTGCAAATGTTTAAAACGAGTGTGCGCGGCGCCAAGGCGAGAGCAGTCTTTTGAAAACGACCCGCCCTCAATCCGTGAAACTCTTGCAAATGTTTGAAACGAATGTGCACGGCGCTTTGAAAACGACCCGCCCTCAATCCGTGAAACTCTTGCAAAATTTTAAAACGAGCGTGCGCGGCGCTAAGGCGAGAGCCACATGTTGAAAACGACCCGCCCTCAATCCGTGAAGCTCTTGCAATTTTGTGAACCGAGTGTGCGCGGCGCTAAAAGGAGAACCACACTTTGAAAACGACCCGCCCTCAATCCGTGAAGCTCTTGCAATGTTGTCAAACGAAGAGGCGAGAGCCACATTTTGAAAACGACCCGCCATCCATCTGTGAAACTGTTGCCACATTTTAAGCTTCAGAATCATAAATGGTGAGGTCGCAAGCGAAACGCCCGGCCCGCCCTGAAAACTGGCCTCGGAGTGCGACAGGAAGAAATTATTACAAGGAACAGGAATCGAGGAGGAGGAGGAGGAGGAGGAGGGGGAGTAGGATGAGGAGGAGGGGGAGGGGGAGAAGGACGAGGAGGAAGAGGAAGAAGAAGAGGAAGAGAAAGAGGAGGAGGGGGAGGAAGAGGAGGAGGAGGAGGAGGAGGATCGGCTGCACGTACGAGTGACCCTGGGTAAGAGTGACCTTTGGTGCGCGGATTTGTTGGGGCGCGAGGAGGCCAAACACAAGCGCGCAAGACGCTAATATCGCAACGAGCGCGGCGATCGGGTGACCCCAGTGAGCGCGCACCAAACACCAAAGGTCACTCCGGCGAAGGGTCACTCTTACGTCTAGTCGAGGGGAGGGAGGAGGAAGGAGGAAGGAGGGAGGAGGGAGGAGGGAGGGAGGAGGGAGGAGGAGGAGGGAGGAGGGAGGAGGGAGGAGGGAGGGGAGGAGGGAGGGAGGAGGAGGAGGGAGGAGAGGAGGAGGAGGAGGAGGGAGGGAGGAGGGGAGGAGGGAGGAGGGAGGAGGAGGAGGAGGAGGAGGAGGAGGAGAGGAGGAGGGGAGGAGGGAGGAGGGAGGAGGGAGGAGGGAGGAGGGAGGAGGGAGGAGGAGGAGGAGGAGGAGGAGGAGGTAACCATGCGCTCTGTAGTCACCTGCCCCTGCCCTTCCCCCCGCGGGGGCGCAGGGGCTGGGCGCGGCGGCGCCTGCCCCGCTCGCCGCGCTCCTGGCCGTCCTCGTGCCGCCGGCCCGCCGGCCGCGGGTCGCGTCGGGGCGTCGCTCGGCGCGGGTGGCACCCTGCGTACCCCTCGAGGGCACTCCCGAGGCCCTCCCTGGGTGCCCCCCAGAGATCCAACGTATTGAAAAAATCAAGACGGAAGTTTTTCGCAATGTGCGGCCTCTAGGTGCCCTCGCCGGGCCCCAGGACCGTCAACAAGCGAACTCAGGATGAAAAACCGGTTCTCGGGAACGGGTCGAGACTTCCGGGGAGCCCGTGATGAAAAAATCACGACATCGGATCTCTGGGTCCTGGGCGATCCCAAGGCATCCCAATGCCTTTCAAGGGCCTTCCAGGGCGCCCCCCAAGGCTCCTGAGATGCGCCCCATGGATTCCAGGACACTCCGAGGGCCGCCCCCCCTCCCACCTCCTCCCCAGTCCTACAGGCCCCCTGAGTGGGGTCCGAGCCCATGGGGTCGAAGGATCGCGCGGCATCCCTGATGCATCGCCGTTGCACCGACGATTCAAGGGCAACGTCGGCGATGTCTCGGCGACGTCGGCGCAGAGAACATCGGACTCCACATCGAGCCGCATCGCCGATGTATCGGCGATGCGGCTCGATCCTTCGACCCCATTTATTCCGACCCTATCTGTCGGCTAATTACATGCAAGAATGACCCTGGGTAAGAGCTACCGTTGGCGCGCGGCTGTTTAGGGGCGGCCGTTGGGCGCGAAGTAATGGGGGGGCGATAAATGGGGGGGAGAGAAGGGCGCCCTTGCCAGGCCCTCAGGGCCCCCTCTGGGGCCCCACAGGGCCCCTGAAGGGGCCCTGAAGGGGCCCTGAAGGGGCCCTTTTCGGCAGCCCTCGCTACCCCCTCCCTTACGGCCCCCCCATGACGCGCCCTCCGATAGGGGAACGAGCAATGACGTAAACATAAAAACTCCGAGGTCCGTGCGGATTTCACGGATCGGCGCTGGAGACCCCTGGCGACGCCTCCGGCGCCGCCCCTGGCGCGCTCCGCGGCAGGGGGGGGGTCTAGCGCGGATCCAAGAAATCCGTGCGGATCTCAGATGTTTTTGTTTATGTCAATGTTTGTTTCCCTATCTGATGTTCCCCTGCTCCTCCCACTTCCGTGTACATGGAACCACCGACGCTGGAGGCTTCGCATCGCCGGTCGCGCTGTCACTGCTGCGCCTCGCCGCACGGGATAGCTAGGCACGCTGCGCATCGCCACGGCGCAGTGCCTGCGGCTCAGTGGCAGACGCTGTCGTTTCACCCCCCCCCGGCCAGTACACCTCTGACGTGCACCGCTTTCTTGATGAACCAAATAGGGACCCCTAACCCTTTGGGATGGGGACCTATGTTAGGAGGGCAAAAACATTAGGGATATGGGGTCTTTTTTTCTGCAGATGTATCAGACCAAACCGCCCACATTTACTATCCCTGATGCGAAAACGGGGACCTCAGTGAGGCCACGTCTTCATCGTGATATTAGGGTAAGGGGCTCTTTCTCCTCAATGATCTCTTTCTCTCTCTCTCTCTCTCTCCCTCTCTCTCTATCTATACATATGTATAACCCAGTTCCACGCCCCTCCTGGGAGGCCCTCCCTGGCCGTCGCTCGAATGTCCATTCCCTGTGCACTTCTCGGCTTCGTACGTTTACGTTTTGCTCGCAAGATGGTCCAGGATGCTCCTCGATGTGGTCTTCGCCGAGGGGTAAGGATGCGTGCGCGCGCTGTCTGGCAAAACCCTTCCCCCCTGTCCCTCCCATTTCGCACCCCCCCCCCTCCCCTCGGCGATGATCCCGGGGGAAGTGAGAAAGGGCGGGCCTTCTCAGAAGGCTCGGGAGCCGCCCAACCTTCTAAGAAGTTCTCCAAGCCCTGCCTTTTCAGACGAAGAGAACTTGTCAGAGGGCGCGAGGGCTTCTGAGATGTCCCGCCACCTCCTGCGAAGGCCCTCTCCTTCTCATGTCCCCCCCTCGCTCGCCGCCCCCCCCTCCCCCCGGGAGGCCCTCCCTCGCCCACGAGGGGGAGGCCCTCCCTGGCAGAATTCGCATAGCCAGCAAGGACGCAACAGGGCCTCTGAGCGCCGCGTGTCGAAGATTTCTGCGAGCGCGGCGGCCATCGAAAGGGGTCAAGGATGGACCGAGGAGTCAGGGATGCAAAGGTACTGCGGATGTCACATCACAATCAAAAGGAAGGGGGTGGGGTCTGATTCGGGGGGGTCTGAGTTTGGGCTGCCTTGGAGGGTTCCAGGGGGGTCTGAGGGGAAAAAAACGCCCTTTCATGGCTGGTCTGGGGGGGGGGTCTAAGACTGCTCGTCGGGGAGGGTTCTGACCCCCTCCCTTTCGCTCAAAAATTCGGAGTACCTCTAGGACAGTTGCCCATCATTACCATCGGTTTCGACTGTACCCCTGTTCCCCCTGCCTGCCTCCCCCGCTCCTCCCTGCCCCCCCTGGCCACTGCCACCACCCCTAATCGGACGCACAGAGACATACTAGTATTATATGTCCTCCTTGGAAGCGCGGGTCCGACCCGAACATCTAAAAGACCCATATAAAAGACCCATATTGTAGTCATCGCTTCCCGGACGGTGCGGCCAGAAAGCGCCTGCCACGACGCATATGGTAGAAGATTTCTTGGTGCGCGCGTCGCCCCGGGGGGGAGGGGGGGGGGGGGCGACGCACACTCAGTATTAGTACTGGGGAGACGCCGAGAGCAAGCGAGCAGGAGGAGAGGGAGGAGGAGAAGCAGGAGGAGGAGGAAGAGGAGGAGGAAAAGGGGGAGGAGGAGGACAGGAGGAGGAGGAGGAGGAGGAAAAGGAGAACGGGGAGGGAGGAGAAGAGGGAGGAGGAGGAGGAGGCGGAGGAGGAGGAGGAGAAGGCGAGGAGGAAAAGGAGAAGGAGGAGCAGGAGGAGGAGGAAAAGGTGGCCGGACAGGCGTGGTGGCTCACACCAGTCCGGCCACGCGGGCAGCAGCAAGGGCGTGCCAGTACGGTCTCGGGATCCCTGGAGGCGCAGATGTCCAATTCAAGGTGCTCCAGGCTGCGGCCCACGACCGGCCAGGAAACGCGCCCGTGGCAGTGGACGTCTCTAATGCATTCGGCACCCTTTCTCGCAGAGCCTTTCTGTCCTCGCTTGGCACGGTGCTGCCGGGATTTAGCAGCCTCCTGTCCCGGCTCTACGCGCGGCCCGCGGTGGGGATCTGGCGAGACAGCGCTGGCGAGGTACACGAGCTGACCACGGGCGTCGGGGTGCCCCAAGGATGCCCGCTTAGCCCGGCCGCCTTCGCGTTGCTCTGCACCACCACGTCTTGCGGCACCTGGTGAGTCGACCCAGCTGGTTGGTTACGGCCTACTTGGACGACGCGATCGCCGTTGTCCCCAGCGCGGAGGTGGAGGTGTTCCTCCGCGATCTGGCCGTCGCACCCAACAGTTGCGGCCTCACCCTAGACGCGGCAAAAACCAAGGTGTGGCTGCCCCCAAGACAGTCTCAGTGCCAAGAGACGCTGCGACAATACGTTGTCGACGACTTGCGAGTCGTAGGGCCCACCCTCACTCGCCGCCAGGACGACGACTGGGACGCGCTCGCCCTAGGCTCCAGCGGCGGCGCCCGCGCCATGAATGCAGCCACATATGCCCTGCGCGCGTTCGGTGAGACCCTGCGCGCGGCGGTGGACGCGGGCTTAGGGCCCCAGGAAGCCACGGCCATGCTGCGCTGGACCGCCCAAGGGCTCCCGAATCACCTCATCTGGGCGCAGCTGCAAGACCTGCAGGCGGTGGAGGGCTACGACCGCGTCCTCCGCGATCTGTGGGATGACATCGTTGGCGAGGTCATGAGTGACCGAGAGTGGGCACAGGCCTGCCTGCAGCTGCGGGAGGGCGGTCTTGCCGTTGGCGCGGCTGGGCCGAGGCGCTAAGCTGCCCACGTCGCTGCCTGGCTCGCGGCTGCAGCCAGGGCCGCTAGCGCGCTCGGACTGCCCAACGCGGAGGCCCTCCTGGCAACGCAAGCCACTGGCACGCGCAGCTTCCTGGACGCCGTGTCAGTGTACAACGGCAAGCTCCCAACAGCGGCTCGCCACCTCCAGGCGTCCCTTGCCCACGGCGAGCGCGCTAGACAGAAAACGCTCATGGACCCGCTCACGGAGCTGCACAGCGCGGCCGCCCGAGCAGGCCTCCCGCCCCGCGCCGCAGGCCGCATGCTGTCGTGCGACGGACCCAGGGCAGGCGCCTTCACGTTGCTCCCAACACCGCCCGAACACCGAATGAATCCCATGATGTGCCGCATCGCGCTTCGGCGGCGTCTCCTCATGGAGGGCCCCCGGTTGCTGCGAGGACTCCAACCGCAGACTCACTGCCGAAACACGTCCCGAGACGGGACTGCTTGCGGAGCGGCTCTGGAGCCCGATCAGCACCATGCCGTCGCCTGCGAACGCGGTGGCGCACGCGCGACCTCCTGGCACGCTGGCTCGCCAAACTGTCGTCTGGCCGGGTCCTCACGGAGCAGACCGTGCCGCAGTGGCAGGAGGCGCCGCCAGAACCCAGCCACGGGTCTGGGAGACGTCGAAACGGCCGTCTTAGACGTCGTCTGCACCACACACGGCGTTACTCAGGCTGTGGACGTCGTCGTGGTCAGCTCTGACACCACGGACGACCGCACGGAACGCGCCTGTGCCGCCAAGGCAGGTTCGGCCGCAGAGGAAACTGCCCGCGCCAAGGAGCGACGCTACCCGCCCGCCCTTCGACTCCGGCACTGACTCCCTTCGCGGTCGAGTGCGGCGGCCGGGGTGGGTTGCGCGGGGCGGCAGCTCGTTCTGGATTACGTGGACCGCGCCGACGGCGACGCAGGTGTTTCGGCGGATGCGCTCGCTTTTTGGCAGGAGCTCAGCGCCACGGTCCAGACAGCCGTGGTGGAACAGCTCTTAAGCGGCCACCAGCCCGCCGTGTTGGGTGGAGGCCGCGGGTGAGGCGTCGGAGGGATGTCGGTGTCGGTCAGCAGGGGCCGTTTAGATTTTTGTGATATTCGGTAGGTGCTGCTCTCCCCCGCTGCTGCGGCTGCTCTCCTCCTCCTCCTGGCCTCATGGGTGGTGCCATGTGTTGTGTTTGTGCCCCACACCTCTCTTCCCTGGTCCCTCTCGCATTCCACGCCGAATCGCATCTCTATGTGTTGCACACGTCGTAAACGTTTGTTTCCATATGTCCGTTGCATGTTGTGTATTGTAACATGTGGGCGGTGCCAGACATTGCCGCTCGAGCGTTTGCTTCTGCTGCCTCTCGCCCGCGTGTCTCGCTCGGGGCCCCTCCTGTCCCTCGTGGGTGCTGCTTCAGGTTTGTTCTTAAGATCTGGCGGGGCCCCTAATCAGAGCTGAGCTGCGCTGGCTGCGCACAGCGAAATTTTCTAGGCCGGCTGTCGCTGCAGGCAGCCCCTGCAGAGCCGCTGGGTCCGCCATGGCCGCGGGCGGCGAGGGAGGAGGAGGAGGAGGAGGAGGAGGAGGAGAGGGAGGAGGAGGAGGAGGAGGAGAAGGAGGAGGAGGAGGAGGGGGTGGCGGAGGAGGGGGAGGAGGAGGAGGAGGGGGGGGACAGAGGAGGAGGAGGAGAAGGAGGAGGACAGGAGGGGGAGGATGAATGAATGAATGAATGAATGAATGAATGAATGAATAAACGAACGAACGAACGAACGAACGCACGAACGAACGAACGAACGAACGAATGAATGAATGGATGAACGGCTGAATGAATGAATGAATGAATGGATGGATGGATGGATGAATGAATGAATGAATGAATGAATGAATGAATGAATGAATGAATAAATGAATAAATGGATGAATGAATGAATGAATGAAAGAATGAAAGAATGAATGAATGAATGAATGAATGAATGAATGAATGAATGAATGAATGCATGCATGCATGAATGAATGAATGAATGAATGAATGAATGAATGACTGACTGACTGGCTGGCTGACTGACTGACTGAATGAATGAATGAATGAATGAATGAATGAATGAATGAATGAATGAATGAATGATTGAATAAATGAATGAATGAATGAATGAAATCCCACTAAGGGATATTACGGGTACAGCCTCAGTAGAGGCGCAACTCCGCTTCCGCATCAGCGGCGCGAATCAACGCGGGGCGTTCGTGCACGAAGGGGTCACGGGCACTAGTTGAGACCGACCCCCGCCCCCCTTGTCAGCAGGCTAACACCTCGTCGCGACAGGGAGGACACCGCGCATGATCGTGCTGAACCCGCTAAACTAAGCGACGACCCACCCCACCTACAGAAACGGAGCGTCGCTCAGCGCCCAAGCCCCACCAGCACGTCTACCTGTGCACCCCCAACGCAGGTCGCAACTCCCAGAAGGGGCGAAGGACATCCTGCTGGGTGGGGCGAAGGACCCAACGTGCCAGGGCTCACACCTGGCTGCGAGGAACCAGGCGGGGTTGGAAGTGGGGGAGCAGGACTCTTCCCGACCAAGGGTGCGCACATCGTCCACCCAGGAGGGGAAGGGGGGGAGGGGGGAAAGGGACATGCCTCAACCCACGTGGGATCATCGCATGACCGCGCGGTGCCAGCGGGCGTCCAGGCTGTACGGCTTGGCCGCCGTAACAGTGCACATGAAAACCGCGCTGGCCTGACGGCAAAGGAGGAGGAGGAGGAGGAGGAGGGGAGGGGAGGAGGAGGAGGAGGAGGAGAAGGAGAAGGAGGAGACTTTGACAACATCGCGCCTCGCGGCAGGCCCACCCACGGACACCGTGGAGGGCCGCGGGCGCTCACTACGAGCGACACCGCGCCCGCGAAGACTGCGCTCCGAGGTTCGCCTCCGCAAGGCTACGCTGCAGTCACAAAGCAAGGTTGGACGCCGTCGCTGGGATACTCCTCGGGCAACTTGTTCGAATGCCGTGCGCCCCTCTGCTTAACGATGCATCCACCCAATATTCGCAGGCTGGTCAAGTGCAAGCCTGTGCGTGGTAAGACATGAAAGCAGGTTTGCACGGCTGGGCCGTTGCCTGGCTTGTTGTACGGTGCAGAAGTCCATGGCTGTAGTGACGCTGAGGTCCTTAAGATGCGGAGGGATATCGGACGCACATTACAGCCATCGGCGGGGGGAAGGTCTCTAACCATACTCCTGATTGCAGAGAATAACCCAGCATGGCTCGCAGTCGTCGCTCCTATTCTGCGCTGGGGAAAGGAGGTGTGGATCAGAGCCAGCAATGTCACACAGCTCTCTTTACGTGTTCTCTGCTCTCCGAGCTGCTTGGACGGCGACGTATCACCAGGATCTGTCGTGGCGCAGCTGCGGAGGACCAGTGGGGGCTATGAAGCTCTCGATGTGCAGGATCCATTGGCGAATGAACGACTTTTTTCACATTCATCACCTGCAACAAGAGATCTCTCTACCTGACACCTCGCCTGGCCTCCTGAAGAAGCTGCTGCGCGAGAGTGTGGGGAGGTCCCTGGAGCGCTCGGCCAGCAACTCCCTGGTCTCCTCCGACAGGCTCTGTTTCGACGTCATGGTCTCGGTTACTCGGTCTACGAAGTTCGAGGGGATCCAGAGGGGCTCCATCAAGGCGGTGCTCTGTGGGGCTACTTGGACTCGCGATAGGGCCATAGGCTTAGGATACCAGTGTTGCCCGAAATGTGTGCTCCGGAGGGGGGGGGGGGGGGGGCGATTATTTGTTCCGCAGGCTTTGGGTTTGCAGAGCCTGCTCAGACCTCAGGGAGTCTCTGGTGAAGCCCTGGATCCCTGAAGGCTCTAAGGAGCTCAATGTGGACTTCCTTCTTGTCATTCGGGGCCTCTTTGGGCACCCTGGGGATCGTTTCCCTGCCCCTCACCCAGGACGGTGTTAGCATTTCGTGGCAAAACGACCAAGACGGGCTGGGCGGCGGCTTTGTTGGGCACGTCTTCTTGGACCGCTCGTGCTACAAGCATCCCGTCAGAGAGCTCTCGGGCTGGGTGGGGTTTGGCTGTTTCGAATCTCCTGACGTTCCTGCTTGTACGGTGGCTGCCCCAGTCTGGAGCCCCACGCCTCAGACGAGCCAAGGTGGGGAATACTCGGCCTCTGGGGGCTCCGTCTTCCTCACGGGGGGACCCTTGTCATTTCTACACGGACTGTCTCAATGTCCAAAAGCAGTTTCATGCGGCTGGCTACCATCAAAAGATCAGCCATACATTAGTCTACAGTGGTATGATGACGCAGGTTCTGTCTCATTCCGATCGCATTCTATCCTTGACCAAGGTCAAGGCGCATCAGGACCTGCAGGCTGATAAGCATCCGCACGAAGCGTTCCTGCGATCGGGCAACAACGCTGCCGATTTGGCGGCGAAGAGAGGTGCCTTGCAGCACCCCACAGCCTCTCCCGAGCTGCAGGGAGTAGTCAAGCGTGAAGTCGATGTGGCCAAAGCTCTCCTCCCCCTCTGGCCTCGCCTTGATCTCGAGGGGGTGGAACGAATCGTCCCTCCGCGTCCTGTCCCTTCGGCCCGTGTGGGCCATGTCTGGGCGCGAGCCGGGGGCCCCTGGCAGTGCACTCAATGTCTCCGAGGTAGACGCTCTGACGCGGAGCCGTCTCCTGGATCGTGCTGACACCACTCGCGTGTGAACGCGTCGCGGCTCGCCGCTCTTGGCCATCGGTGATGGGTGGTGGACTGCAGTGATGACTCTTTTGTCTGTTTTTGACAGATGTGCAAGTGATACACCTCAGGGCAGCGCCTCGCCGACCTCGTGGAGCGGTGTCGTGGCCCTCCTGCCAAGCAGGATGGCACTCCCAGGACATCCGCTCCTTGGGCTCGTATCTTGAAAGGCCGGCATCCTCACAGGCCTCGGGCGACGATTTTGGCGAGCACGATGGCTGCACTGTGCACGTGAGTCGCTAGGGTGGTACGTTTCTCGCGCCACTCCTGCCTTGTGTGCTGGTGTTTGGCTACGTCTCGTCCGTTGCCCGCTCTCCACTCCAGGCCTTCGATTGTCTCGACTCTGGAGTGGGAGCTTTGGCCCCATCTCCTGATTGATTGCAAACAGGTGGTTGAAGCACTCAGCGGTGTATGTTAAAAAAATCATCCTCCTCCTCCTTCTGTTTCTCCTCATCCTCCTCCTCCTAGGTATCCTCATTCTCCTCCTCCCCGTCATTGAAATGAAGGACACAAGGAAGAGGAAGAGGAAACGGGAAACACACATTCAAGGGACAGGAGAAGCACATAACGTCAGAAGGGACTGGAAAGGATGCGGCGCTGGAGGCGCGGATCCAAGAATTCCGCGCGGAGCGCCAAGAGTTTATGTCTATGCCGCGTTCTCTCTTCTTCGAGAGGAGGCGGAGGACGGGAGGGACCGCGGAAGGGACGAGAGGGGAGGCCCAAAGGCGGGGACCTTGGGAGGGCGGAGGAGAAACGGACAGGGAGACGTGCACAAGGGGGAAAGGATGGGGACTCCTCCTCCTCCTCCTCCTCCTCCTCCTCCTCCCCCTCCTCCTCCTCCTCCTCCTCCTCCGCCTCCTCCTCCTCCTGTTCCTCCTCCTGCTCCTCCTCCTCCTCCTCCTCGTGCTCCTCCTCCTCCTCCTCCTCCTTCTCCTCCTCCTCCTTCCTCCTCCTCCGAGAGGGGAAGCGGGAGAGGGGGGGGGGGGCAGCGGAGCCGTGTGCAGGTCCTCGGGCGCCGCTTCCTGCCCGCGGCTCTCCTGGCGCCGCTTCTCCAGCTGGGCCCGCCGCTTTGCCCGGAGCCTGCGCGGGGCGCGCCAGAGCTCTGGGGAAGAAGGAGGAGGAGAAGGGGGGGAACAACCCTGAGCTTCCAGAGTGCTTCAACAAAACATACCCCTCCTGACCTATAGACCTATCTGGGCTACCATAAACACCTTGGCTAGAATATTTGTGCGTCGAGGTCCTGGTGCTATTGGTTGTGCCCTCTCCTGGAGGGTCAGGGAGTGAAGACGGAAGAGCTTCTGTTCGCTAAGCGGCACGAGGAGAAGGAGGAAGCAGCAGGGGAGGGAAAGGAGGAGGAGGGAGGAAAGGGGAAGGGGGGAGACTGAACGTTCCACCTCCTCGCCTTTCCCCATCTCTCCTCGGCCCATCTGCCTCGGTTCTCCGGGCTCCCCACCCTTCTGCAATTATACATTATGCATAAAATGCTTATCCTCTCTCCACTGACTCGGTCCAGAAGATGCCCGGCCCTCTCCGCACACGCTTTTTGGGACACAGGACTTCGATGATTGATGTTCTGGTGCGTTGCTGTTACATTCCGATTGCTTTCGGTCCCTGAAAGTGGGGCTCCCACTGCAGCGTTGGCCTCATTTCAAGATCGGCGTGCTGCTCCCGTCGTTCAGAATGGTGCTCTCGACACAGCGCGGGCCCTACTTCTGGATCCGAGTCCTCCCTCATCGTCGTCGCCCCTCTCCTCCCCCCTCCTCCGCCTGCTCCGCCCGCTGCTTCCACTCCAGCTCCCGCTGTTGCTGTTCGTCCTCCTCCTCCTCCCCTCCATCTCCTCCTCCTCCTCCTCCACCTTCTCCTCATCATCCTCCTCATCCTCCCTCATCATCCTTTTCCTCCTGCTCATCCGCCACCTCCTTCTCCTCCCCCTCCTCCGGTTTACGGAGCCCGGCCTTCTCCGATTGCGCATAACACGATGGAGTCTTTTAGGGAGTTCCAGGTCTGCTATGACACGCGTCCGCTGATAGAGAAAAAGTTGGCGCAATGGGAAGCGATGGGTGGGATGGGTAGGATGTCAGATACGGCGCGGACGCACCTAGCTTGCCTACCTCCCCTATCCCCTTTCTTCGGCCCCCCATTTGCTCGCCTCCTCTCCATCCTGCTCCCTGTGTCCATCCTTACTCCCCATCCTTCCCCCATGTTCCGTCTCCCTTCCGTCATCTCGCAAAAGACTGACCCCGGAAAGGGCTTGGTATCAGGTAATCGGGAGGCCGAGAGATGCCAGGGGAAGGTCGAGGAACCCCTTTTCGGGGATTGACCCCGACGGCACGGCGCAGATGACAGTGGCCAATGGCGGCACAAGCGGCTGCGACGGCAGACGTGGGACGAGGGAGCGGGCGCACATGGACCGAGATCGGATCGAAGATGCTGCTCGTGTATGGCGGGCGCATCGGGGTACTCGAGCTTAAATGTCCCGCTGAATGCCGAGTAACTGCCAAATCGAGAGGGCGACAGAGAGCTATGCAAAGGCAGCGATTGTGATTTTGGTGAGTACGCCGATGGCTTCCCCCACACAGACACACACACACAACAACAACAACAACAACAACAACAACAACAACAACAACAACAACAACAACAACAACAACAACAACAACAACAACAACAACAACAACAACAACCACGTGGTTCGACGTAGGCCCTCTTGGCTCACGCGCGCGTCGTTCGCATCACGAGCCGAGTGTTAAGGGATCGCCCAGCAGATCCGCAACCCTAATCGAAAAGGGCTATGCAGCGCCACCAGGGCCGAAGCAGCGACCTGAAAGCACTGTCACAGCATAGCAACGGCTGGAACGTCAACTGCACGCGGCGTCTGGTGATCGTCACAAGCAGGAGGGATGATCGCCAGTATGCTGAGTGTGAAACTGGTGATGGTGAGAATGATGATGATGATGATGATGATGATGATGATGATGGTGGTGGTGGTGGTGATGACGATGACGATGATGATGATGATGATGACGATGATGATGACGATGATGGTGATGAGGATGAGGATGATGATAATAATGATGATGATGATGATGGTAATGGCGATGACGAGGATAATGACGATGATGATGATGATGATGGTGATGATGATGACGAAAACGAGGATGATGATGAAGATGATAATGATGCTGATGATGATGATGGTGGTGTTGGTGATGAAGATGATGATGCAGATGGTGATGCTGATACTGATGATGAGTATGGTGATGATGATAGTGATGATGGTGGTGACGAAGATGGTGGTGAAGATACTGATGGTAATGATGATGACGACGACAGTGATGGTGATAGCGACGGTGAGGGTGGTGGTGATCGTGATGGTGATGGTGATGGCGATGGCGAGGATGATGCTGATGATGATGATGATGACGATGCTGATAACGTTGACGATGGTGCGTATACATCACAAGGGCACAACACGCCGCACACAATCAACATCCGAGAGGATGTTGTGCAACCTCATCTGCTCAACATTACGCATCGAAATTATTGGGGGCAACCCTCCACGGTGGCCACCGTTCTCTCGTAGAGGCCGACTCTTAGCCTTAGCGTGACACCATCACGCATCTACCAACAGCGGGTCGCCGCGATGCCCCAATCGCGAGAATATCGTCGTTTCTGGTGTCGTTCGTGTCGTCTGTGACACGGATGCTACGCCGTGCGAAAGTGTCGATGGACCGACATTCTGTTTGGGACCGACATTCTGTTTGGGACAAATGCCGCCCCTGCCATCAGCAATCAGATCTTGGGGCTACGTTGCCCCAGCGCTGGAGGTGTTTCTGACAGTGGGGCTGCCCATGTGGACCTGGCATGCTGGAGCAGAGCCTTCGGCCTGGAGCTGCAGAGGCATTCGTTCACCCATAACGCTGCCTGAGGTCCAGCATGCGTGCCGATGCTACAAGCGCCAAGCGGGCCTCGGTTGGGACAAATTCCATCCGCTCTGGATCATCGACTTGCCGGAGGAATCCCAGCAGCGCTTCATGCTTGCCTCCAACCACGAAGAACAGCAAACGATCGTGCCAACGACATGCACCAGGCAAGCCCGGAGACACACAAAAGCAAAACTGCCGTAGGCGAATCAGCGCGCGGATCCTTAGCCTGTGCGATAATAAAAAAGCTGCCCTGCGAGCATGGCCGAAACTTGGGCCCCATGCTGTCGTGCCCAAGCTCCGTGAATCACCACGTAGACTTGCACGCCAAGTAAAGAGAGGATTGGCAGGACTAGCAGCATTGGCGCAACCAGGCTCCGTGAGCGCGAGGAAGCCAAAACACAGGGCAGCCTCAGTGGGCGTCGAGCCTGGGTCGCCCTCGGCCGCAGCACGGAAAAAGCAGGGGGGGCGTCCCGTGGGGAGGGCGAGGAGGGAAAGGAGGAGAGGAGGGGGGGAGAGTGGGCAAGGCGGTTGCACAAATAGGCCGCCACACGTCGACCTCAAAGCAGGTGTAACATCTGGCCCGGCACTTCTGCCGAGAACAGCGAATTACCACGAACCCTGGCACAAACACTGAGATGGGCAGGAGAAGGAGGAGGAGGAGGAGGAAAGAAGGACATAACCAGCTCAGCGCATCCTGAAATGATACCAACATAGCTCCCAACATCAGGCCCAAGTTCCGCAACTCAGCGTCTAATACGACAATCGCGTCCCCAGACGGCGGCCAGGCACAAATGCACAAGAAAATAGGTTGGAGTTAGCACTCAAGGGGCGACAAGAGGAGAAGCCAACGACCGACGGGGATGAGACAGCTCAACTGGACACCCAAACAGCAGCAACACTCGCCACGAGCCCAGGATGCACTCGGCACGCCTCCCGGCGAATTGATCCCAAGAGGCGTGCGCACTGGGCGTCTGTCTGTGACGCGCCACGTTTGCGGCGGAACACACGCAGTACTAGGCCAGCACCCGGCGTGCACGCACACTCGCCTAGAATTGCGTGCACGCACGCTCGCGGGGAGAGCAGGAGGAAGGAGAAGAGGCGCTGGGCGGGGGCAGGCTGCACCAGCCCGAGGCATAAGGCATAAGCCAGCGGCAACAACACGCCACCCGCGGGCAGAATGCAGCACGGCGGCCCCAATGCCGCCTTCGCCACCCCCGCAGGCGAAGAGGCAAGCCGTGCCCCGCTGCACACGGCGGCCTGTGACCCAACCGTGTTGGAACGCCCCGCAAACAGCGGCCCACACCCTGGGAGGCACAGCCCACCACACGGGGACACGACAGCGACGCCCGACGAGGAAGGCAGGCACGAGGACGACGAGAAAGGGGGGGGGGGGGCGAGGAGTGGCGAGAGGCAGCCGCGCGGTCCGCCCTGCGGCGGGGGCCCCGACCCGCGCCTCTGCACCCGGACCAGCGTGGTGGGCATGCGCACCGCCTCCTCCGCGGCCTGCTCCTGCGGCGAGGTCGGAGGTACGGACCTGGACCCCCTCGGGCTGCGACAAAATCACAACGGCGAGTGAACATTTCTAGCCCTCGGGCCCCAAGGGGCTCCCAGGAGGCCCCAAGAGGCTCACAAGAGGCCCAAAGAGGCCCACAAGAGGTCCTCGGGAAGCCCGAAGAGGCCACCAAGAGGCTCCCAAGAGGCCCCCAAGAGGCTCCCAAGAGGCTCCAAAATTCCTCCCCAGAGGCCCCCGAGAGACTTACGAAGAGACCCCAAAAACAATCCCTGAGGACTCTGGCCCACGTTAATGTCGTCGTCATTGCCGTTGCCGCCGCCGCCGTTGTCGTCGTCGTCGTCGTCGTCGTCGTCGTCGTCTCCCTTCAGGGTCGGCCGCACCGGCCGCAAGGCCTTCGCAATCACGACGGCAGGTTTTTCGCTATTTTCGGCCTTCGGGTGTCCCTACCGGGCCTCGGGACTGTCAAAAAAAAGGATGCAGGACGAAAAACCCGTCCAGGGGAGGGGGTCCAGACCTCTGGGGGTCGACGGTGCGAAGAAATCACGACGCCCGGTGTCCGGGGAGGGTGGAGGGGCCGAGGAGGGGGAAAGCGCGCCACCGATCGGCGGCGAGCCCGGGAGGGAAGCGAGCGAGAAGAAGCGGGCCTGCTCAGAAGGCTCGGAAGTCCCCTGGCCTTCCGAAGCGTGCTCCAAAGGCCTTCCCCGAAGACATTGAAAAAACCTCCGAGGAGCCCCGCCGCCTTCTGAGAAGGTCTGTTCCTTTTCACTTCCCCCCGTCGGTCGCCGTCGAACCGAACCAGCCAAAACGAATTCCGTTCCATGTTTTGGGGGCTCCCGAGAGGGCCACCATGGGCTTTCACGAGGCGGTCGCCGCCACGCGCGGCCGGTGTACAGTGGCGGGCGTCCGCCTGCCACAAGCGGGACCACTCCAAGCGCTGAAAACTCGAGGGGCCAGGAAAGAGAACTGTGTGGACGAGCAGGAAGCGGCGGCGGAGTGGAGGAAAGAAGGAGGTGAAGGGGCAGAGGATCGGCGCGCGGCCGTCGCGCAGGCGTTGACAGTCCGAGCGGTACGTCGGTTCATGCTGGCAGCTGGGCCTGGCCTCGCCAAGCACCTCGACGAGCGACGAATAGTGAGAGAAAATGCAAAACAAAAAAAAAAAAACGGGGGGGGATAAAAACGCCATTTAAGGCGGTCTACCAATTCGCCCACCCTTTTTCTAGATTTGCTTACGGATGAAAAATGCGAGCTCTGATTACCCAGCTCCTCAAATAACCGCCAACAATTCCGCAGTACTTGCCGGAGGCTCCACACAGGCAGTGCGACCGCGACAAAGAAGGGAGCCGCAGCCGCACGATTCCAAACCTATTTGGGCTCAGAAATTTGCCCAGCATGCGAGATCCATTTTCTGAGGAACCTGCAAATTGGAGGAGTGACGCGAGGAGTAAAAGGAGCGCCTGACGCTGGAAGAGGTCCTGGGGAGGTGAACCCCAAAACTTCGAACTCCGACGACGCGGAGCGTTTGGAGTCGCAAGCTCCTGGAACTTGTGACTCCAGGCTTCATGATTGACGGCATGGGGCCCAGAGAAAAGTCCGTCAACGTCAAACACTATGATAACACAAAATCACGCCAGCGCCACCGATGCTGAATCGACAGAGAAGTCACGCCATCATTACCCGCAAGACAGGATCCACCGAAAAAACGCATGCCAAAAACATTGCGACTATCCCTGGGAATCTCTCAACTGAAACGAGCCGATCTGCGTTGTGCGATAAGCGAAATCAACTATGACACCACCGCCCGTTCCGAAAGATGGCTCTCGCGTCGACGCTGGAGGCGCAAGTGTGCAAAGCGGACGAAGTATGCCCTGTTTTTGGTGAATCGCCACCTTGTGGCGCGTGCGCCTGCCTGGCGCGCCTGCGGCGGAGGCGCGCGCGACGGCGCCGGCGCGCGCGCGCACGCGCATCTCCTTCGCGCGCCCATGCCGCCGAGCGCCGCGCGCACGCGCGCGCGAAAGCATCGGCGCGCGCGCAGGATCCCGACGCGGGCGCGAACCTTCTGGGCGCGCGGAACGCGCGACGACAAATCGCTCGACCAAGCCGCGTGACAAATTCGCCCCGCGGTCAGCATTCCCGAAGACTTGACAATGCGAAAGGCACTTCCGCAGTTGTTGCTGCAAGTCTTCAAAGAGCATCACTTTTCACCGCCACCTCGGATTGTGTCATGGTTCTGCGCCGTCGGCGGATCCTGTCGCCCGCCTCCCATTTTTCTGGTCGATGGCACTTCGTGTTGTCCTTGAACTCGTCGTCGGCATCCTTTTTCTGTCGTCGGCCATGTTTGTTCGTCGAATTGTGCAAATTGTTGTCGCCTGTTCCTTTGGCGCCTTGCACGGTTGGATTCGGAGTCTCACTCGGGCTCTTCAACATGACTGGGACCCATCGCGGCCAAATATCCCCCGCGCCACCAGCGCCCCCATCACCCCGCCCAGAGGCCGCGCCCAGGCGCGGCCCATGAAGGTTCCACTCCCTGACCCCCCCTGGAGAGACCGCGCGCAAACGCGGGGGGGGGCTCAGCGATAGCGGCGCTTGAGACGCGCAACGGGCGACGCGGCTGCATTTGTGAGATAAGGGTGAATCCCATGATCAAGCGGCGCGTCTTTCGTCGCGCCGCGATCCCATGGGCCAGGGCCCCATGCGAGGCGCGGGCGCCCGACTCCAAAGCTGGCGCCCAGGACCTGCCGGGCCGCGCGCCCCGACCAAGAATGCACGGCTGATTAAACCGCGGCAACGACGCCCACCCACCCCCCACCCACCCACGCACCCCCACCGCGAAAACATAGACGAGGACATGATCGCCTTCGAACTTCGATGCTGGAACCAGACAGGACGAAAGGAACTGCGGAGAAATGGGCAGCAGCAGCAGCAGCAGAAGGAACGGCAGGCATAGCGCAGCGCACATCGCCTCGAGCTCGGCCCCGCAAATCCGGCGCCATCGCGAAGGGCGAATTCGCCCCTCCCCCGCGCCAGGGCCCAGCGCCCCCCCCAGAGCCAAGAGGTCATGGAAAGGACAAGGGCAGCTCGAAGTCTGCGGGCGCCACTGCGAGCCTCTCTGAACCCCCGCGCGACCATTGGGCGCGTTCGGGGCAGGGTCAAAACCCGATGCAAAGCCGCGCATTGCAACTCCCAGCGCCTTGTCCAACTTCCCCCCATCCAAGTCCCCACCCCCCGCCTTTTCCCGCAATGGCGCGAGGAAGGTTTTAACTCAGCGGCCAGGCGAAGGGCCTCGCCAGGATAAGTCGCGAGCGCCGCGCGTGAGACTTGCGCAAGAGAGCGCCAGAGACGCAACGTCACTCCGTCGTCGAAGTCGCAACGCCCCCCTCGGACACGACGCCCGCGGAATCGACGGGGGGGAATGGCTGCTCGAGGCTTGCCGCTGTCAACGCGCTGAAGGCCAAATCGTCGACGCTGCGGTTCGCGCCCACTTATCCGACTTGCCTGGGCGATCGATCAGCGCGGCTGTCGACGCCGGCGGCAGTCCTCGCCGACAGGCGGGCCGCTGGCACGCGCGGGGCGACATGCCAGGGAGGCGCGCAGGCTGGCGCTGGAAAACATGGCCCGATCCCCCCTCTTCTAAGGTAAATCTAAGCACTTAGCTAAGATTGTTAAAGAAAAGAACTGACATTTAACACGCGGGACGGCACCTCCTGGCCCCATCGCCGCGTCGGCGCGGGCGGCGCGGCCGCCCGCGCGGCTGGCTTAGGCGGCGGCGCGGGCCGCCCAGCGCCGCCAGCGGTCGCCGCTGACGTCGACGGGCTCGCCCTCTTGGCCAGCGCGGGCCCCGTGATCATCGCGCGCGACGACGCTGGAGATCGGCGCGCGAACGAGACGCCGGCGACGTCGTCACGCGCGCCGCAAGCGGCCCAGCAACGGCGATCCGGCAGCTGAATGCAAATCCCAACGCGACCACCCTGGGGCGCGCCGCGAAGACAGCAGAGCGCGGCGGCGCTGGGCCACGGCGACCACCTCGACCCCCGAACAGCAGAGAGCGACGCTGCAAGAGACACCGCGCTTGCCAAAGAAGTTTCTCACCATTCCGCCGGGCCCAAGGCCCGACGCCGCGGGCCGGCAAATTCTCGTCGCGCCGCCGCGGCCCGCGCCCGCCCACTGCGCTCCTCGCGTCAAAGAAAAAACGGCACCACTGAACATTACACCCCTGCGCCGCGCGTTCGCCCGCCCGGCTGGCGCGCGCCGCCTCGCGCCGATCAAATATGAGAAGACGCCGCCGATGACCTCTTCGTGCTCGTCGGCCAACGCGGAACTGGCGAGCCAGGCGGCAACGGGGCCGCGGCGCACCTCGCCCGCGCCCGCGCCCGTCGGGCAACCTCACATATTGGGCGCCCGAAACGGGCACGGAAAATGGGCAACGTGCCCAACGGAGCACGTCGTCCAAAGCCGACAGCCACCCCTATTCGGCAGGCAGCATTCGGCCCCAGATGGACAACGCCCGCGGCGACGCAGCGAACGCTGTTCAAAAAGAACAAAAACTAGCGTCGGTCGTCGCGCCCCTTCTTTCCGCGCCCATTCCGATCGCGCCGATCGCACTTGCCTCGAACCAATGACGGTCGGGCACCCGCCCGAGACGCGCCCCCCGCGCGCGCGCGGCGCCGCCCGCCCGCGCGCCCGCCCCCGCCCCCGCCCGCGCCCGCCCGCGCGCCGCCACCCAGCGCCCGGAAGGACAGCAGAGGCACTCCATAGCCTGGGTCTTCCGGGCGACAGCGGGGCGCCCAGGCAACAGGCGGCGTCGCGCGCAGAAGGGGTCGAAGCGAGGGGGGGCGGCTTCTCGGGAAGAGGCGCCTCTTACAAGGCGCCAGCCCTACGCCCGCAGATAAGGCCCGCGCGCTTGCAAAAGCGGGATGGCTCTAGGAAGCCCCCCACCCCACCCACCCCCCTCTGCGCGCGGCCGATCATGTCCAGGGTCTCCCGCGCGAAAACAAAG